AGCTGAAACGCACGTCTCACAGTATGTGGCCATAGTTGCAGTTTTTCTTTTGTAGCACTTTTCTGGAGTGGCAGCAGCAGCGATCGAGCTGGGAAGTCTAGCCAGGCCTGTCACGTACTCCTTCAGAAAATTTTGGCTCCTTGAATGAAAGAGAATCTGATTATTTTGGTTTTGAAATGCTAAATTTCTGGGGCTAGTTGTTGGAATCAAACCAGAGGTGGGCAAAATGTGACATCTAGAGAGAATCTGATTATTTTGGTTTTGAAATCAAACCAGAGGTGGGCAAAATGTGACATCTTCTGCATTGCTTAGTTTGCAAACTTCTCTGTAGGTCAGGGTGTTGGGTAGCACCAGAAGCCTTTTTTAATCTGTGAGCCTCATCTAAAACTTCTGTCTCCTTCGCCATTGTCTACCATGTGTGTCCTGTGAGTTGAGCCCCCTTGGGTGCCAGAAGGCTCTGTCCATCCCCTCCTCAGTGGTTTGAAGGAGCCCTGAGTACAGGAAGGAGAAGAGGGAACTTTAATGGAGCCAAAGCAAAACTCCTGCTCACTACTGTAGTCATGAAGGGGAGAACTTACCTCTCCCGGCTCTTGACATCCAAAAGCTACCTGTCCAGCCAAAGGCAGTCGTCTGTGCCCTGTGGTCAGTGCAGAGACGGGCACTGGAGGTGCTACCTTCTCCCTTAGTGTGGCACGAATTATCCTAAGAGATGCCAGAAACTTTCCACAGACACTGGTGGGAGCCTAAACAGCCGGTCTGTGCGAGCTATAAAATTAGTCCCCCATGACATGAATGTTTAAATAAAGAATTAATTGCAAGGATCAAGCTTTTGGAGAAAGAACCAGCTGCTTTTGTTAGTATCGCCGATGTGTTGCATGTATGGCCATGGCCGTGCAGGCTCTTGCCCTGCAACGTGTGAGAAGTGGCTCATCCCATGATGAAAATGGTGTGGTGTAAAGGCACAGCCAGGTTGCCTTGTGGTGCTTTGTGGCAGAGCCAACCTTCAGGCTGCCTGTGCGCCCAGCGTGCTCCCTTGGCACGGGTGAGGGGGAGTCGGTGCTCCCAGCCAACCTGCCCTCCTTCCCTCAAGCCGTAGTGGGTACCTGCACGAGGTAGGAGCTGCACAGTGATGGTGAGTTGGGGCCAAGGAGCCTTAAGGTGAGCCTCTCCGCAGCCTGGGTATGGTCACCTTTTCCATTGTTCCATCACTTGCGACAATCATTTTAAAAAACATTTATCATTTGCAATTGTGGGAGACCAACCCGACATACCTTCATATTTTTCTTCTTCCCTCTTTTTTTTCATTCTAACCATACAGAATGCCTCAATTTTCAGGGCAATTTATCATTTTCAGTTAAAACTTTTAGCTGGATATTTGTGCTATTAAAACTTTTGGTAGGATTAAATGGAAATGCCAGGTGAGCCTCATGCACTGTTTGGAAAGCTGTTCTGGCTCTAATCAGATCACTGGCGATGTGTCATCTCACCCTTTTCCCCCTTGTCACCCCAGGTTTCTTGTACTAAGCTCTCTATTCTATGTGAAGAACATTGCCCAAGAGCTAGTAGAGAGCAACACAGGACACTTTTATTTTGGGACAGATGGTTTGGCGTTAATCACGTGTCTCACGTATTAAAATCTTCCCCCAGAATGTGCCAGTTGTGCCATTTTTAAGCCAGGGTCCGAAGCAGTCTCCTCCAGTTGGGTGCACATTTATGTTTATTAACTCCCCCTTCCTCTTCAACAGGATGACTTGCTGTCCTTGAAAGTTGTCAGCGTTCTCCACCACCTCAGCATCAAAAGAGCCATTCAAGTTTTAAGAATAAATAACTTCGAGCCCAACTGTCTGCGCAGGAGGCCATCTGATGAGGTACTACTTTAAGATGAAACTGTGAAGAGGAATCCTCTAGGGTTTTTCCCTGGTGTTTCTGATTATTCCTGCTCTGGCCCTCTCTTCCTTTCCCCTCCTTCCTATTTCATTCTGTTTCATTTTTGGCTTCCTTTTTCTCATGTTGTTCTTCCAAGTCTCATGCTCTGCCATCACTACCTGGAATACCACTTTCTTTCCTCCACCTGCCACGGCCCCAGACTCGTGTTCCTTCGCCAGATCTTCTGCTCCTCTTCCTAGCCAACACCTGGCTGTTTTAGCTTAGTCTCTGATGTGCTGCCCGGAACATAAATCACCTTGATCTCAGTGCACTGTTGCCTTGAGTCTTGTGTAACTCTCTGGAAAATTGATGGCTGTGTCAAAATTTTCTGTGTAAAAGGAGTTTGGCCCTGTTATCAGACAAGAGGCTGCCCTCAGTTTGTTTTGGAAGCAGCGTATGCTGGATAGGGCAATGGATAATGAAGCAACCCAGACTCTTGGATTTAGATTAACGATGCGTATCTGCAAGAAAAGCACAGCAGCTCACGGAGCTAGTTAAATTTTCAGTTCTACTGGTAGAAATTGCAAGTAGTCCTAATGCACAGCAGGATATTCAAATGCCATGAAGTGTAATACAGACCTACCTGCTGTCCAGAGCCATCACCATGTTGGTATTGCTGCAAATAGCAATCCAAAAAGAGGGTTTTTTTCCCCTCAAGCGTGAAGTAAGCTTGCATTCATTAAGGGCAGGAGAGGTTTGTTTCAGTAAAGATTGGGGCCAGGACAGCTGAGTCAGGAAGTCTCCTTAACTGCCTGTTCCTCCTGTTCACAGAATAACGTCACACCTTCTGAGGTCACCCAGTGGACCAATCATCGTGTGATGGAGTGGTTACGCTCCGTTGATCTGGCGGAGTATGCTCCTAATCTGCGGGGGAGCGGCGTGCATGGGGGACTGATGGTAAGGCTTTAGGCTGGTTTATTCCATTTTATTTAAAAAAATAGGGCCAAGAATCGCTAGAGCAAAGTTCTGACATTTATCTTTGCTGCACACATCTTATCTTCTTATTCTGCTTAATAAAAAGTCGCTATCAAAATGTATTACCCTGTAGTTTAAAGGACATGAATGTCTTGGGCAGAATTAGTGGGGGCAGCAATGATTTTTATTATCTGTATTCCCCTCACAATTTAATTTAGGTATGGCATTCTCCAACTCTTGTCCTACAATGCTGTACACTGCTATCATGCTGTTAAATAGCCACCGCCTTCCTTCCTAGACCTGGGTATGTTTTATTTTGTGAGGAAGGCTTGTTTTGTAAAATCTGTGATGTCAATGTCAAACCAGGATTGGTTTTAATTGCTGTAGCATCAGATACTCCAAGCAAGAGACTTAGAAGTTTGTGGTGATTAAGAGGTATATCCCTGCTCCAGACGTTTTATGTCTGTTTATTTTCCATTGTTCCTCTGGCTAGGTTTTCCAGAATTAAAGAGGATGGTGGAAAACATTTTGTGGCAGCTTCACGCATTTCATGAGTTAAGGGTGGATTTATCTGTTCCTTTCTTCTTACCTGCTAATTTGTTTCTATTTATAACTCAAGAAGGAAAGCCTGGAGGTAGCATTTTATGAATCCTTTAACTAGTTAACTCTCTTTTCTTTCTCTTTGTTGTGTATTTCCTCTAAAACACAAACGGAAACCCCAGAGCAACCTTAGGAGGTGACCAAGATAAGTGTGCCTGTTGATGTCCTTGAGACCTCATTAGACAGCTGGATCCTCAGCTGGATTCTTTGTGATTTGATTAACAGGTTTTGGAGCCTCGTTTCAATGTAGAAACCATGGCACAGTTGCTGAACATCCCACCAAACAAGACGCTACTGAGACGGCACTTGGCAACACATTTCAACCTCCTCATTGGGCAGGAGGCCCAGCAGCAGAAACGTGAAGCCATGGAGTCCCCAGACTACATCCTCTTAACAGCAACTGCCAAAGTAAAGGTAGGTCACTTGTTCTGGGTCGGAGCATGAGCTTCCAGGCAGACATTTAGATGCCAGCATGCTGGTTTTATCCGTGATTGGAGGGCAGTTCAGTAAGGTCTGAGAAAAGGGGCTGGCTGCTAAAGAAAGAAGCATGAGAGCAGGACTCGGCTGATCTGGGTCTGACATGTGTGTCTACCATGAATGCACCACATCTCAGCTTCTTGTGTGGTGTCCTGTCATTGCTATAAGATGTCTGGGAGGGAGACTGTCTCTTACTGTTTATATGCTCATGGTTTAATGCAGTGGGATTCTGTTCTCATTCGGGATCGTTTCAATGGTTTTGTCTTAACAGTGGTAGGATGAGGGGACACATCTTGTTCTTTTGGATGCTACTATCACGAAATACAGCTATTCAGAAGATCTTTGTTTAGGAGAGCAGTGGGGTTTTGACCCTTCCTCACTGAAACACCAATGTAAGAGTAAGAGATCTGTTAATTGTTTGCTCAACTTCTTGTCAATTTTCTCTTCACTTGTCAGCCAAAGAAGCTTGCCTTCAGCAATTTTGGGAGCCTGAGGAAGAAGAAGCAAGATGATGTGGAAGAGTACGTGTGTCCTATGGAGCTGGGACGGGCATCAGGAAGTGGATCAAAGAAAGGTTTTAAGCCTGGCCTGGATATCCGAGTATATGACGATGACGATTTGGACAGGCTGGAGCAGGTAAGCCAGCTCTAGCAGTTTGGAGTCCTTGACTGTGCTGTCAAGTTTGGTGGAAAACCCTTTCTTTTCAAAGGGAAACTTTCCTTTTGCTTTGGCCCGTGAAGGTCCTGACTTCTTGCAGTCACACAGCACCACTAACAAGTGTGTCTCGCAGCCCAAGGAGGTTTATGCTGTGAATGCAGCGTCTGTAGGACCTACCTGGCATAACTGTCCTCTCCTGACAGGGCACACTCCTCCCTTGCTCTGACTGTGTGGACTGTAATCAAGCAGTTACATTATTTGCTGCGCTTAATTGCCACTCTGTCTTGGCATACAACAAATTTAATATTCATTAATTATTCATTATCTGTTTTTTGTAGATGGAAGATTCAGAAGGGACAGTGAGGCAAATAGGAGCGTTTTCTGAAGGCATCAACAACTTGACAGTAAGGCTTAAAATTGGGGTCTGTGGAATAAGATCTCTGTTTCTGTAAGATGAACCCCATGGCAATTGCTAGTATTCAATAGCGATGTTATAATACAAATACACGAAGTACAACTTTTCTTCGCTATCACTGGCTCTGTTAAGCAGCTGAGCTTTGTAGTTTTGGGGGCAATTGCTTTGATGGATTTCAGTGCATAGCGGGACCTAGTCTTTGGATAGAGTGAAGCGCCACTGGTCTCTGAGGGCTAAAGTATGTCCGATTACTGTGCAAACCATGGGTATAGTGAAGCCTCATCCAGCTAGGGGTCAGATGAGGTCCTTTGGTTTTTGTATGTGGATGGAGGGGAAAAGAAAAACTAGCGGTTGGGGAAATACCTGCCCATCCTGGCTGGGAGGTTCCCCCGACCTGTGGTCACCAGCCCTCTTTGCTGACTCTCCACCCTCTTAGGGAGGGTGGAGGACATGGCACCCACCTCTAAGCCGGCAGCTTGCCCTTGGGCAGTGGGTTGCCAACTGAGTGTCGTGGCGCGTTTTCTTTGTGGAAGCCCAGCCCCAGCCTGCGCTCCCCCAGCCGTTTGGGCCAGCAGGAAGGGGACTGAACCGCGAGTTGGCCAGGAACCAGCGCGGGTGAAAAACACCCTCAGCAGAACGAAGCGGTGGCTGGCAGGGCTGCTGGCGCCGTTTGCTGCCAGGCACAGGACTGGACCCTCCCAGGTGTGTGATTTTAGTTGTGAGGGCCTGAACCTTGACTCTTCCCTCCTTTCCTTTCTAGCACATGTTGAAAGAAGATGAAATGTTCAAAGACTTTGCGACTCGCTCTCCTAGCACCAGTATAACAGATGAGGACTCCAACGTGTGACAGTAACCACCAGGCACTGACAAAGGCTCACTTTCCTATGTGCAAGAAACGTCGTCATCATACGTGACGGGCAGCAGATCATGTACATTACATTGCTCTTGCTTCTGTTTGTTAGAAGTAATATTGGGGGGTGGAGAATTTAAACAAAGAAAAAAAAGGAGGAAAAAAAGAAAAGGTGCCTACTCTAAAGTTGCCATAAGAAACAGCCAGACACTGGTGAATGGTAATTGTTTTTACTATATTTAATGTACAAACTGGTGATACGTTTGAGTGTTGCATTTAAATTTACGTGGTATCATAGTGCTCCTTTTGCTTATTCTCGGCCTCAGATAATCCTTTGTACTGTTTCAAAATAACAGAAGATGTTAGGTAGAAGTATTGCATCTGTAGATATTGTGCATCAGCTTTCTCTAGGCTGTCAGCTGAAAAAAAGATGTTACTGCTCTTTTTCAAGTGCATTTGTTCAGCACAAATATCAGTTCTGCCCTTCCTACAGTATCCAATGTAGGATTTTAGTCATCCATGCCTTGCATAAACTCCCCGGTAGCTCTTGACTGTTGCTCTTATTTTTATACTGTTTTATAAAAAAAAAAAAAAAAAGAAAAGAAAAAAGAAGTATATGAAGTACATATAAAAGCAAAATTTTACATGTTGTGAGATAGAGTGATGGAAAGTTCGAGGTGTGGGAGAAGGGAAGAGGGTTGTAAAAAGATTTTGCCAGTTTGCATACCAGCTGGTTACTGGAAAAGGCAGGCTGACCTTTGGAACTGTTTGCTTTTGTTGCTTTTTTACCAAGTGCACAGTTTAATGATCTTCCATTTGGGATGAAACAATTACAAAGCGTGTTTCTTCTAGCAGTGACTCTTAAGGAAACTGCACATTTTAAAACATCTTTTTTCTTGTTCCCAGCAGCAGTATTTATAGCGTTCAAGCAAGGCTATTAACACTTCTGTGACTTAAAAATTATTTCCTTAAAGTTGAAAGTACTCCCTGCATATGGAAGGGATGTTTCTGTGCTGTGACTAACGTAAAGATGGTGTAGTTGCAAAAAAAAAAAAAATAATGAAGTTATATAGAGAAATGTATAGGAAATATATTATTTCATAATATTAAACCTAAGGTGGGACTTTTCCTCAAAAAATCAAATATCAAAACACATTGCTCATCATTTTACCTTCTTTAAAGCACAGCTCTGCTGCTTTTGAAGATTGTCAGATTTTAAAAATCCTAACTAGCCAGGGGAAATCTTTTGGCAGCCTTTCGGTATTGTGAGGTGTCCTAGCCAAAAGCAAACAAATAAAAAAAAAAAAAAAAAAAAAAAAGTAACTCTGTTTATCACAGTGGTCACTCGTACGGTGTTGAACGTTGCATGTGTTTTAGCACAATGGCATGAAGCTTCTTTGCTTTGTAAAGGCAAAAAAAAGTACAGCTGGAGTTGTTCCTCGCGGTGGCGTGTTGCTTTACCAAGCGTCGGTCGCTCGTCTCATCGCGCCCCTGGCTGGAAGGGAGAGCGCTCCCGGCACGTTGCTGGTGTGGCGCGAGGGATGTTAGAGCTGCGCCGGCTTTGTGGGTGTTTCTGCAACACTGTTAACAAAGCTAGGAGGAAAGGGAGGAAAGGTTCTTTTCGGGGGCTTCCAGGGAGCTCACATCGGACCTTGGGGTAGATCGGAGACATATTCTAGCGTTATATTATTGTAACCTGATAAGCTGTTACCAGCCTGGCTCTTTGAAGGATGTGCAGTGTCGGCTGTTATTTATGTACCAAGATGAAAAATTTTATGTGGGCCGGTTGTGTTATACATAATATCAAGTGCTGCTGTTTTCTCTTTAGTATCTGGAGCCAGGCAAACAATCCATAATGTATACATAAAATAGGTTGTGCTGCTTACCGTTTGCCTACAAACAAATCACAACTGATGCTTTATTCAAAATTCCTGACTAAGTAATGTCTGCAAATAATTTGCCGTCTGTTGTTTCTTCCTCTGCAGTCTTGGGGGTGTTGGAGCTATTTAATTTGGGCAGAAATACCGCATTGTGTAACGCCTGCCATCAGCTTTAAGGTGCAAGTGCTGGGGATGTGAATTCAGGGCTCGCTTTCAGTGAGTACTTTGCAATACAGTTATTATTTCACATCTAAGCTGGACTTTAAGACCCTGCTCTCCCAAATGCTGCAGAAGCACTGGGAAGATGTGGTGCAGGCTTCTAAGGACTGGATATCCACAGGGGAAAACAAAAAGGGGGCTGGTGACACGTTAGTGTGTGCTAAAATAGGCACAAACAAACAGTCTCCGTTTGCTCTTCAGTCCAGTGCTATTAGCAAGCATATCGGCAGTGGCAGGTGATGGTTTATTTTAAGTCCAGCGGAAGTAGCGTTGTCTCCAAACAACCCTTTTCCTGCCTTGACCAGCTGGAAACCAGGTTGCTCCTTCGAAGCTGCCTATCATCTGAACCTTGGTTATTTTATGGGGGTGGAATGCGAAAGCAAGTGATAAAGTCGGGAAGTTCACGTGCACATGTGCGCAATGATACCTTTGGAGTATTTTAATTTGTGCGTGTTTGAAGAGGGCAACGTAACTACTGTGTATTGCCATGTGAAATCCAATAAAGTCTGTGGAAAATGCCAAGTGCGTTTCTGGAAGCTGGTTCCTTTTTAACGTATCCTACTTTTTATTTTCCTAGGAAGCTCGTTTTGTACTATTTAAAAGACAAGTGGCAAAATCGCCTATTTTTTGTGGACTGATTAGTTTGTCGATAGTGCTTGCAGAAAAACTCAGCTGACAGCTAAGAAATCAACTATCCCAAGTGGTTTTCTGTATTTCTGGGATCCACATTTGAACCATCTTGGGTCATTCAGTGTGGTGTGATTAGAAAGTGTTGCCCGTTGCTCGGTGCGTGCTCCTCGGCGACTCCTCACAGGGAGGACCAGCTCTGGTCGTTCTCGCTGCAAAGGGCAACCATCTCGCTGGCCCCAGGTGCCGTTCCCCTCCCTCTGCCCTCGCAGCCCTCAGCAGTCATAGGAGCTGCACCTACTTTGCCAACAGGAGTTGAGCTTCCCCAGACTACATTTGTTGCTGGGGTGCAGGTACAAATGGTGATCAGTGTTTTGCCCAGTGTAGCCCAGATAATGGACCAAGGAACACGGAACGCCCGTCTCGTGACGTTCGTCTCTGGTTTTACTGATTGGCTCAGCATTTCAGTGGGAACACCAAACTTCAAAACCTAGAGTATAATAAACTTTTGTTGTCTGTCTTTTTGTCTGTGATGAGGAAAAGAGAGATGTCTATCAACCAGGAGCCTATGGAGATTAAACCAAGCTTTTTTCTGTTTGCTTAAATTAACATATGTGCTTAGGAATGGAGAAGAAATACAGAAT